AAGAGCTGTTCTTCCTATATCAAGATATGCAAGAGCAGTTTGGGACAAAAGATCCACAGAACGTGGCCAGAAATATCTCGGTGCTAAAAAAAAGGATCCAAAAGGGCAATCTCAAACAAGGCAGGTTAGGATTTTACTGGAACACTGTGGATGTGCCTTGACTTCAGCAAAACATTTGAAGAAGTACCCCAAGATATTCATATTAACCTACTAAGTCAGATGGCATCAGGACACCTGCTGGAGACAATGATTTTCCGAGCCTTCAGAGTGGCCTCCGGATTGCCTGGGAAAAAGGTGGATAAGACCTAGCTGGAAGCTGAGGGAAACACAGCAGTGGTTGTTCTGGAGCTCAGTCTGAGTTCTGTGGCTGTGTCAGAGCCTGTCATTCAGGGCAGTAGGCATCTTGTTTCCTACATGTGGCAGTGGGACTCAGACACAGAGGAACAATTATCATTTATAGCTATCTACTGGCAGCACATCTCCAGGGACTTTCCATCTGCAGCAACAGAAAAATTTGTATTTGGATTGGAAAGGACTTTTGAACTATGGGATTAAGCAGATTATGTTGAGTGTTTTGGGGACTGGTGGTGATGGAAGTGAAGGTGTTTGCTCTCCTCGCTGAGAGGAAGAGGGGGTATTATCAGCATACTAATGGACCTGACCCCATGTTGTTGGATGAAATCACCCAATGGTTTCATGTAGAGATTCAGATGGCCCCAGTGCCAATAGCCTTTGTGTGGTGTTAAAATTTGGGCACTAGGCCAAGAAGTTAAGTGAGCCTATTTTGAGGGGTTATTGATGTAGATATGTGTGCTGTCCCAGGAAAAAGGAGAATGAGGAAATTGGAAATTAAATCCTGTGAAAATAAATTGACAGAATTGGGAATATTTAATCCTAAAAAGATTGATAAGGAATAAAATATGATAGTACTTATCAAATAAAAGTAGTGAGACTATTTGCTCATTGCCAGATTTGAATCCTACCTGTCTTCTTCACCTGAATGAGGCTAGCTTGTTAGTGCAATAGCTCTAGTCCAGCCCAACATGGTTTTATGAATTCAGCTTTGGCTGCAGCTTCTTTCCCAAAGATGATCCATTATTATGTTCTCCATTCTTTTCTCCCGCATTTGGATGGTAGAAAGGACAGGGGGCTGGTCGTTGAACCTCAGAGAACTGGAAATGACATGACAACCAGAATTATCAAGAACCCAAGGCAATTAACTAAGGTGAAAAAGCTACAAATATTTAGCTTTCTAAGATTCAAAATTATGATTACTGAAAGATATGGGGAGGGTCAGTCATAACAACAATAGAGATGGGTAGAATCACTGAGAATTGTAGGGAAAGGTGAATAGGATTCTTTTTCCCATATATTAGAAGTTGGGGCCATTTAATTATGCTAAATGGTGGGATATTATATATTTATGCAGTACATAGAAAAACTGGAGCTTGCTTTATTAGGTTGGAGGTCTTCAAAATAGGATTAGGCAAGTTCATGGAGAAGAATATGCTACCTCCACTGTTGGAGGCGGCTGGGAAACACAGTGTGATGCAGTGTACGTATCCTGCTCATTTCTCATCCACTGGTTAGCCAGTGTGGCAAGACAGTGCTGGGTTAGAAGGGCTTGAAATAGACCCAGCATGACTTTTCATGTACTGGTTATGAATTGTCTTTTTTCAAGAATTCTATAAATGGGTTCTGTGGGACTAAGGGGGAAAAACACCTCTCTATGAGGTACTAAGCCATAGTCCCTTGCAGAGATTTTTTTCCTCCTTAGTCACTAAGGTACAGCAGAAAGAGGGTTGTAAGCTGACATTCAGAAGCCCCCCCCCCATGCTTAATCAAGGAGTCCAGGATTTTTTTTTTAACAAGCAGGTTTCACAGCCTGAAAAAGTTTGAAAACCCCTGTTTATAAACTGTAATTGAGAAGTGTATTGATGAGTTGAGTTTATCTCTTATTATTTGTGGGGGAGAAAATTATGTCTATTAACATGTTTTACACGAAATGAACTGTATTTTTATATCACACAGGAACTGAAGTTCTTTGAGCTATTCTACAAGTTCTCAAATCATAATTGTCATAATCGTAAGAAGTAAAAAAAACACTGAAATAAAATATAATATAATTGAAGCAGTATGTATTATAAAGTCAGGTTTAAAAACCTATTCAAAACCTAAAAGGCAAAATAATTATAGTAAAATAAAAACAGACAAATAAAACCTAAAACAAATCTAAGTTTGCTGTATATTGTAGAAATCTGGGGAAATGATTTGTTTGGAGCTAAAAAGAGATACATGGCTTCCTACTTTGAAAACAGCATTTCATTACTGATAGTACCACCACTGAAAAGCTTCCATTCCCAATTGTTGTCTAGTAATCTGGATTTGCATAGAAGGGCTTCAGTAATTATCACAGGACGGTGAGTATTAGGAATATATGGAAAACACTGTTCCTTTAGGAAGCATAATCTTAACTATATAGAGCTTTCAAAATAAAAACAACACTTTTAACTGAATCCTGAAATGGATTATGAACCAATAAAGATGAACGGAGTTAATTTAGTGTCTGATCTTGCTCTTATATTCTAGAGAAACAAGGATACAAATCTACTTTCACACACAGGAAAAAAGCCAAGAAACCATCAAACAAAGCAATCAGTGTGGTTTGTTTTATGAAACTTTTTAATTTTGTGTTACATCCCTTTAGAGAATTGAAATTGCTGTGTGAAATAATAATGAGATATAATAACCATTAGGCATAACTAACCCACTGATAATGCTGAATATAAATATAAAAACACCCCCAAGACATCTGTGAACAACAACCACAGTTGTTTTCTTACAGCAGATCAGAGCACTTGTGTATCTAAAGGGATTCTGTGCCTCTGATTCCATCAAAATAAACTCGGTGTCCTATTCATTTCCCCATTGTATCCTTAAGACTGATGAACAGCTGAATAGAGAAAACAATCAGCAGACTTCTTGCATCTTGACTAGGAGGGGAGGAAAAGGTACCCTCCAGTAGATTTTGTTTGTTCAGATTATTCCTACGGTGCCATTTGGATGATGACAGCAATGTGCTTCATAGAGGCAGATCATTCCAGGCTTGTGGGCTAATTTCCAAACCTCGTGGCCTGTCAGACTTACCAGATGTGCAATAGGTATAAACTCTGTAGAATCTTAACTCCCCCTATTCAGTAAAACTTCACAGACTTGACATGCCTGGATCAGTGGCTTTATTGCACACAAGAAATAAGTCATATATACGCATGTCAGCAGGTGTTTGGTTATTCTTTTTATTAAACTGTTTACATAATAATTTTGTGTGGCCTGAGCATCACTGATTTCTGTCTCCCCAGCATCAGCCCTTCTATGGCCAGGCCTGGCTGAGACATCCAGCTGAAGTTGACCAAGGGAAATACTGACAGGGCCAAGGAATTTCTAGGAAAGGATCTTCAAAACAGGCTGGACCATTTCTGCAAAAGATCAACTAATTGTAGAACAGAAACAATTCAACACCATCATGTGCCTGGGGAGAGGTGCTGGTTTTGTATTAGG